CCGCAAGAGCTGATGAGTTGCCACAAAGGCGTCTCGTTCTGCATTGATAAGTCCGAGCCGGGCTTCCAACAATTGTTGCTCTTGGTCGAGCACGTCGAGGGTCGTGCGGGTACCGACGCTCAACTCTTCTCGTGCGCCCTCATACGCAATTTCCGCAGCTTCGACTTGGCGCTCAGACGCGATGATCGATTGTTTGGCGGCGATGTTGCCATACCAAGACTGCGCGATACTGGCAGTGACTTGGCGTTCTGCGTTGAGAGTCTGCAATCGGGCTTGGTCACGTTCCAGGCGTGCCGCCCGGATACGGCTGCGCAAGACGCCGCCCTGAAACAGCGGCACGCTGGCCTGGGCAAACAGGCGCAAACTGGTGTCACGATAATTGTCAGCCGGCAGCGTACTGATCCCCGTCGTTGGCGAAATCGCCGTCGCTTCAACGTCATAGGTTTCTTGCAGGCCAGCGGTTCCAACAATGGAAACACTCGGACGTGTTTCACCTTTGGCTGAGCGCACGCCTTGCTCAGCGACCCGTTCGGCCTGGCGCAGGGCTTTAAGGTCGGGGTTTTCGGCAATTGCGAGCTGCAGCGCCATTTCATATGACTCGGGAATATTTGGCGCATCCGAAACCGGGCTCAAATCCCCCGCTGATTGGCCAACAAAGACTTCATAAATCGACAACGACGCTTCGAGTTGCGCTTCGGCGCCAGCCAATGAGGCCAACGCACCCTGCACGCGGGCTTCTGCTTGTTTGACATCGGTTCGGGTCGCAAAGCCAACTTCGAAGCGATCTGTTGCCGCTCGTAATTGTTCTTCTAGAAGCGCCACACTATTGGCGCGAATTTTCATCGCTTCCCGGTCGCGCAAGACATCGACATAGGCGGTCACGACGCTCAGGATCAAATCTTGGGCGGCGCCATCAAACTGCGCGTTCGCGGCTAGAATACCAGCTTGAGCTTGATCGATGCCCGCATCAATACGTCCGCCAGTATAGACGGGCAGGCTCGCTTGCAATTGCGCCGTGGAGAGTGCTCGGTCGCCAACATTGAAGGCAATCGGCTGATTGCTGTCGAGGGATTCATATCCGGCGGTCCCGGAAAGATCGACTGTCGGCGCCCTTGCCCCCCGCGCTTGATTAAGCTGTTCCCGGGCGACGGCGATGCCGGTGCGCTGCACTTCCAAAGACGGATTGGTTTGGAACGCCAGGTCGAGAGCGTCTTGAAGCGTCTCTGATTGGCTGGGCATCGCGAAAGCGAGCACAGACAGCGAAAGCAGCAGGGATTTGCGGAACATGGGAGGCCTCTTTGCAGTCTTTTTATGCCTCCTATCTAATGCACACTTCGAAAAAGTGAACACTGTTCACTCTTTTTGTCGCGATCCGTGTCAGATCCGCCCCGTCAGCATCGCCAGCAGAATACACAGCCGCGATTGCAAACGCCCTGCCCGGCCCCGCCGTCGCCAAATATGACGCAATCGAAAATGTCCGAGCGCCGGACGCGCGGCGGACGAGATTTTCAATCGTATGAGCGCCTGGTCGGAGTCTTCGCTGCGACGCAGCGCCGCCCATTCACCGGCAATTGCGTGCACTGGCTCAACCGAAATCGACGCATCGCCCAAACAGCGCGCCGCGATGACCGCCAGTCGCCCTTCCGGCTCAAGCCCGCGCTCATCTGCTAAAAACGCCGCCTCGTGCTGATCAATGAGGTCAATTAAATCAGGCGAGGTGAATGCGCCCCGCGCCAAAACAGGCTCAAGCGCGAGACATACATCATGTTCTCTCACTTGGCCCTCCTCGATCTCGGCAAGGGCATCGCGCCACCATTGAAACCGAATATTGCCGAGGGTTGCGTCCGTCACCACCAATCGCACGCGCGCCAGCTCATAATAAAAAGCATAGAGCACAATCAACGCCGCGCGCTTATCATCTGGGGCATAGCGGCTTGAGAGCCACCGCTCCTCATCAACCGCCTGAATCCGCTGATCCAGTCGGCGCACAATTTCTTGCAGAGATTCACTGGCAGGGCTGGTCATTAAACCCATATCTGTGGCAAACGCTGCTCAGACAAAGCAATAAAATTATCTAAGGAGACCAACAACATGGCATTTGACCTTCCAGAACTGCCCTATGGCCGCGATGGCCTGGCCCCCCATATTTCAGAAGACACGCTGAACTTCCACCATGGCAAGCACCACAATGCCTATGTTGTGAACCTCAACAAGCTGATTGACGGCACCGACTTGGCCGGCGCGTCGCTCGAGGCGATCATCAAGGCAGCGTCAGGCGATGCGGCGAAAGCTGGCCTGTTCAACAATGCTGCGCAGGTATGGAACCACACCTTCTACTGGCACTCTATGAAGCCAGGTGGCGGCGGCGCCCCTCACGGCAAGATTGCCGAACTGATCGATCGCGATTTCGGCTCTTACGACGAATTCGCCACCCAGTTTAAAGCCGCTGGCGGCACACAATTCGGGTCCGGCTGGGCTTGGCTCGTGCTGAAAGACGGCAAGTTGGCCATCACCAAAACGCCAAACGCTGAAACCCCACTCACCGACGGTAGCGTGACACCATTGCTGACCATGGACGTCTGGGAGCACGCTTATTACCTCGATTATCAGAACTCGCGCCCGAACTATATGGCGAGCTTCCTCGACAATTTGGTCAATTGGGATTTCGCCAATCAAAACCTGGCAGACGCGGCTTAAAACAGCCTCACAACTCACGACTGAAAAGCCCACCTTTGCCGGTGGGCTTTTTTGTTCTATGTGCAGCGCAACATGTTTGCCGGCGCAGTGATTCGAAGTCGGCCCCGCTGTTCACTCCGGAACAGCTTGATGTGACCGACCATTCCAATCTCTAGCTGGACAATACATTGACTGAAGAAAACAAGATTACTTTCGCCGAGCTAAACCTCGACCCACGCATACAAACTGCGATTGATGCTGCGGGCTATGAACACCCGACACCGATCCAGGAACAAGCCATCCCGGTGATCAAAAAAGGCGGCGATGTCACAGGCATCGCGCAAACCGGAACTGGTAAAACAGCCGCCTTTACCTTGCCGATGATGCATCGCCTGACAAAAGGCCGGGCCCGGGCACGGATGCCACGTAGCCTGATCCTCTGCCCAACCCGCGAACTCGCGGCGCAGGTGTCGGAAAATTTCGAGACGTATGGCAAGGATCTGAAACTGAACATGGCGCTGCTGATTGGCGGCGTGAGCTTTAAAGAACAAGAACAGAAACTGATGCGCGGCGTCGATGTCCTGATTGCGACACCTGGCCGCCTGATCGACCAGTTTGAACGCGGCAAGATCTTGCTGACAGGTGTCGAAGTTTTCACCATTGATGAAGCCGACCGCATGCTTGATATGGGCTTCATTCCGGACATTGAGAAGATTTGTAAGCTGCTGCCCCCGCGCCGCCAGACACTGCTTTTCTCAGCGACGATGCCGAAGGAAATTGCCCGCCTGGCCAAGACTTTCCAAAAAGATCCGGTCCGCATCGAAGTTGCCCGCGAATCCAAGACGGCAGAAACCATCGCGCAGCACGTTGTGAAACTGCCGCGCGGCGACGACAAAGCCAAGCGCACAGCGTTGCGAAGACTGATTGAAAGCCGTGATGTCAAGAATGGCATCGTCTTCTGCAACCGCAAACGCGAAGTTGATGTTGTGGCAAAATCGCTGTCTTCACACGGCTTCAGCGCGGCGCCCATTCATGGGGATCTGCCGCAAAGTGCGCGTACCGAGACCCTCAACCGATTCCGTGATGGCGACTTGCAATTGCTGGTCGCTTCTGACGTGGCGGCTCGCGGCCTCGACATTCCGGATGTCGGTCATGTGTTCAATTACTCGCCGCCGCCAAAAGACGAAGACTATATCCACCGGATTGGTCGTACTGGCCGCGCTGGGCGCGAAGGCGAAAGCTTCACACTGGTCGGCCCAGCCGACGCCAAAGGCTGGCGCGGTGTGATGATGCTGATCAATACAGACGTCGCTGAATACATGCCCGACGGCTTGTTGGAAGAGCTTGAGAACGTACCCGAGGAGTCCGATGGACGCCGCGGACGTGGCCGAAATGAACGCGGCGGCCGACGCGAGCGCGGAGACCGCGGCGGACGCAGTCGCAATCGTAACGAACGCTCAGAGCCCAGTGAACGCCAACCAGATCGGACCGAGCCCGCGGAAGCTGCCGAAGCGGTCGAGCCTGCTGAAACGCAAGAGAGCAGTCCGCCAAAATCCGAATCTGAACGCCCGAAAAAAGAGCGCAAGGACCGTCCCAAGCGCGACTTTAAGCGCAAAGATGATGACCTGATCCTCGACCCGGCCCCAGACGATGTCAAAGGCTTCGGCGAAGAAGTACCGGCGTTTCTTAAATAGAAGCTCGAATTGCGGTTGAAAGACCAAATCAAAAACCATAATCTCTCCTCAATAACAGGAGGATGTATTGTTTCGGTTTTTGATTTTTTCCTTACTACTGATCCACTTGGTTGCCGCATCCGCGTTTGCGCAATCAGACCGACCTAGCCTCGAAGCTTATGGCAAACTGCCGCTGATCTCTTCGGCAGAGATGTCTCCAGATGGCTCAAAAATCGCGACTATCGTCAATTCTGATCAAGGCACGCGCTTGGTCGTCTTCAACCCTGCCGGCGGCGTCATCAAACAGATTGGCATCGCAAAAACGAAAGCGCGCAGCGTTTCGTTCTATGGTAATCAACACGTGGTGCTGACCGTCTCCCAAACGACGCGGACTCTTGGCTTTAAAGGTGAATACGAGTTCTCGGGGTCGTTCGCGATCTCACTCGACGACGACACGATCATTACGCTGCTCAAGGGCACGAAGGGACTGTTTCCGGCACAGAGCGGCCTCGGCGA